GTAAGCCTTTTTCACATTACTTTATCCAGAAGCCACATCTTAAGTGAAAGTAAAAAATTGGCACTTATGGCTAGATCATTCCTGATTGTAATATACATGGTATATGAACAATTTTCTTTTATAACTTGTCTTAGAGTGCAAGGAGATGGCAAACCAATCCAGCATCTTTGTCAAGAAAACCCTAAATGGGGTCACAAAGAGTCAAACACAACTGAAAAAAAATGATACTTGTATATATGTATATGTCTATAGATGTTTCTATATATATATATGATTTTTAAAAAGATATTGAAATACCTTTATTAATATAATAAAGAAAAAAGTTCCCAGACCACAGGTTAGGAATCTCTAGTATATTGCAAAATGTCTTAGAAGACCTATTGATAGTGTTCTAAGTTACTTCTAATAATAAAATGCGAGATTTAATACAGAACATTTGGGAAGGAATAGCCTTGAAAATATCCTTCCCGCAGCCAGAGCTCCTAGGTTGGTCCTTTCTGATAAACATCTTTGTGGTATTGAAAGGCTGTCAGAATAGCTTGAGTTTTACATGAAAATCCATATTTCAGTAAGTCTATAAAATAGTGGTTCTCAGCTCCTCTCATGGTCTTTCATTATTTGGAAACAAAAATGTTTCTTTATCTGTCTGCCCTTTACTCAATCCTCTCCAGAACTAGACCCCACCTGTGCCTTGAAGAATTTCAAACTCTGCTCCCTGACACTGGAACGTGGTAGTCATTCTTTGACCCTTTTGATGAGCCAAAGCTCCTTTAAATGCTTATTTCTAGGATTCCTTGTCTTCTATATACTTAATGGCTGCTGTCCTGTATGAAACCGGTCACAAATGTATGTGGCCTTCCTTCTTGACTTCTGGACACATAATTCCTTCACTCCTTATTCTATATATCTTGCCTTTTATCTCTCTGCATCCTGGAAATTCATGGGATGTATTGTAAGTTTTGTAACCTAATAATAATCAATAAGCATTTACTAAGAACCTGCAGTTTACCTACTTTGTGATCCCAAGGAGCTTACAGTCTGTGGTGGAAACAACATGGATAATAGGATCATAGACTTAGGCTGGAAGGGAGTGTCAGAAGACAGCAAGTCCAAACCTCATTTTATACAAGAGGCCTAGGGAGATTAAGTGACATGCCCATGTAAGTGCCTTTTAAACCTGGCCCTTTCTGACTTTAAGGCTAGGACTGTGCTTACTCCATCATGCTGCCTTTCTAATGGACATTAGAATGTCTGTCTATAAATATATGCAGAATAAATACAAAATTAAACACAAGGCAGTTTAAGGAGAGAGAGCAACCAGTATTTGGGAGAGGGGATCAGGAAAGGCTTCAGGTGAAAGGTAAATTTTGAACTGAGTACTGAAGGAAGTAGGAAATTCTTTGAGACAGAGATGAAGAGGGGGACAGCCATGGGGGACCACCAGGGCGAAGACATGGTGACTGAGGTGGAATTCTGTGTATGTGTGTATGTATAAAACAAGAAACCCAGTTTAACTAGACTGTGGAATGAGAGAAGGAAGTAATAAATTATGAGGCTGGAAACCTTATTGGGACCAAGTTGTAAAAGGCTTTAAAAGCCAAAAAGAGGAGTCTGGTTTATATTTTATCATAGAGGCTATTTCAATCATTTTTGACTCTTTGTGTCCCCATTTGAGGTTTTTTTGGCAAAGATACTGGAATTGTTTGCCATTTCCTTCTTCTGCTCCTTTTACAGATGAGGAACTGAGGCAAACAGGGTTAAATGTCTTGCCCAGGGTCACACAGCTAGGAAGTATCTGAGGCCATATTTGAACTCAGGAAAGGTCTTTGACCTTAGGCCGGTCACTCTATCCACTGCACCAGCTGGGTGCCCAAGGAGTCAGGAAGACCTGAGTTCAAATCTAGCCTCAGGCAGTTATTAGTTGTGTGACTCTGGGCAAGTCATTTGCCAATCTAAGCTATCAGGGTAGAAATTGTATAAAATTAGCTTGGAAAGATTATTTTTCTACTCATCTTGTATTGTAATTTATTCTTGGTTTTCTCTGTCCCTATTAATGCTTTTGTAAAATAAACATATCCACTTTCTCTTTGTGCCATCTTAAATTATAAAAATATGAATTCACAAAAAATATTAATAATAACGTGGACGGAGATTAATGGAAGGACAAGCAGTAGAGAATGTATCAAAAAAAGATACTATAAAAAAAATTCCTGAGCCACTCAGATCTTTTAGAATGCAGTAAGGAGTCAGTGCTTCTAACAATTATATTCCACAGCTTCATGTCAAAGGGTGAAACTAAGAACTTTTGAGATGTTTGTATGCAAATATACTGTGGGATAGTACACAGAATATTGAATATAAGATTCAAAAGAAACATGGGCAGCTCGCTTCAAGTCTCTGTGCCTTAGTTTCTGCATCGGTGGAAGGGTGATAATAATGCCAGTAGCGCTGAATTCACAAGGTTGTTGTGAGCAGAGCTATAACTTGGGCAGGGTGACCAAGACCTTGTCTAGAATGCTAACATTTAGGAGGTAGACTTCCTCGTTGTTGGGTTGGTTCTCTGGCTTGCCATCCTTATGCCCCGTGATTCTCCATTGGCAACCCTTACTCCACTGCCATGCTCCTCACCTGTCATATCTACCCCACTTCCTGCTTGGGATTGCAAGGCCTAAGGCCTCTTCTCCTGGTGATAGTGCACTTGACCAGAATGAACTGTCTTCTGCAACCTTCACCCAACTACAACAGAGTAAACTTGCCCCAGGCAAGAGAATTCCTAGTTACAGCTCTCGTGAGGATCAAGTGATACACTTTATAAGATGTTTTTATAAACCTTAAGTGTTATGTAGATATCAGAAATTAAAAAAAAAAAAGATTATTGGGGAGGCAATGAACTAATTTTTTCTTAGTAGTCCAGCTTCTAATGTGTTGGGGATGAAAATACACAATAATATCAATATTGAAGTTTGAAGACAGGAGAATCAAAAATTTCATTTTAAATTTTTCAGAAGGGTAGCTTTAGTTTGTAATTCCAAAGACCTGGTTATAGCTCCAGGAACTGAAAGGAAAGGTCACCGGCTCCACCTTCCCCCTCCAGACTTACTTAAGTTCCAGGTTAATTTTCATTGGTTTAGCCCTACTTGCCAGAGGCACAATGGGAGTTGAAAAGAATTCACTTACTCCAGCCTACAGATCAACCAGTCTTGAGGAATTTCTTGCTGAAGGGTAATAAATTGGTCTGAAGGAAAGACTTTGACCAGAGGAGCCATTTTCTCTGTTGGGCCAGTGTAGCTGTTATCCTCAGTAACAAAGGAGCTGAAAGATGTGAGGACTAGCCGTAGACATTTTTTGGAGGGGACAGAATCCCAAAAGAGATAATATTCCTTCTAACTAGGAAGAACTCTTAACAGGTGAAGGCAACTTCAATAGATAGTAGAAGCTTAGGCTAGTGACTAGCAGCAGGTCCTGATAAGGACTCAACGTTTACATAGGGCCTTAGTTGTTCAGTCCTGTCAGACTCTCTGTGACCCCATTTGGGGTTTTCTTGGCAAAGATGCTTGAGTATCCTTCTCCAGCTCAATTTACAGATGGGGAAACCGAGGCAAACAGAGTTAGGTGACTTGCCTGGCGTCACACAGCTAATAAGTGTTGGAGACCAGATTTGAACTCAGGAAGATGAAATTTCCTGACTCCAGGCCTGGCACTCTATCCACTGTGCCACCTAGCAGCCCTAAGGTGCTCTTCATAAATCTGTCAATCTCTCAGTCAACAGTGATTTCTTAAATGCCAGTAATATGCCAGGCATTGAGGTTTCAAGTACCAAGAATGAAGCAATCCCTGCTTGCAAGTGTTTTATATTCTATTGGAAGAAATAACAATTGCATATATAAATACATAGCATAAATATAATGTGAATAAAGGTAAACATACCCTGTTAATTAATGCTATTATCCCTTTCTCCAGATGAGAAAGTTAAAATTCAGAAAGTTTAAGTGGCTTACATAGGATTAATAAGTATCTGAGTGAAGATTTGAAACCAGGTTTTCCTGACTGTGCTACCCTGACTCCTGATAATATTAGCAGTTCAGCCAAGAGAAAACTCAGCAACATATGACAGCAGCAGCTCTGAGGTAGTTAGGTTGTACAGTGGATGGAGTTTGACTTGAATTCAAATTCAGCCTCAGACACTTACTAGCTCTGTAACCCTAGGCAAGTCACTTAACCTCTATCTGCCTCAGTTTCCTCAACTGTAAAATGAGGATAATAATAGTGCTTGCCTTGCAGGGTTGTTGTGAGCATCAAATGAGATATTTGTAAAGCACTTAGCACAGTGCCTGACACATAGTAGGCACTTACTAAATGCTTGTTCCCTTCCCTCTCCCTTCCCTCAGTGGAGAAGCAGCAAGTGGAGGCTTTAAGGGGCAGAGAAGAGCTGGCCACCCTTGCTCAGCCTTCCTGCAGCTGTCCTCACGTCATTGGCCTCTTTATAAGTTACTCTGTTTTATCGCATAATTTCCCTGCTAGATTCAGAGGAGGGGATTTGTTCTGGAGGGACTATAGCTCAGAGCAGGATTTTCCCCAGCAGACTTCCGTGGCTATTAGCAACAGCAATCACCTTCATGGGAAAAGAGCATTTGATTAGATATATTTTCAGTTCACATGTCTTCAACTGCTCTTACAGACCCTTTAAAGCTTCAAAACTACTTCTGATTCTAGTTGCAGGAGGGAATAGGGGCACAGAAAGGGCTGGAAGTTAAAAGGGTTGGAAGTTAAACAGAGAAATGAAACTCATATTTGCTCTTCAAATTTGAGATGGGGAACATGCACAGATGGAAAAATGTTTTTACTAAATCCAGGAACTTGTTAACAATAAGGTTTATTTTAACACTACTCCACAGATCAGGAATCATCATTTAAAGTGGTTTGTTTCTTCACCTGATGATCTTTCTTTGTATTTATACATGCAAATAGAAAATACATGTATTTTTTTTTTCTTTGGGCAGGTGTTCTTGTAGACTTGGGTCTGGAAGAAAATGGATCGGCTTATCAGAGAGCAGAGAAATATGTTGTTCGGCTGGATAATGAGATTCAAAGCAAGTTTGAAGTTTTTATGAGAAGAGTCAAACAGAATCCATACACACTGTTTGTCTTGGTTCATGACAACTCTCATGTGGAGCTGACAAGGTGATTGCTTCAGAGTGAGCAAGTTAAAAGCTACTCCTCTGGCTGGGGTCATGGGACCTTAAGCAGTTTTCAAAAGATGGTGGTTAAGAGAACCCAGGGCCCCTAACCTCTGGTATCTTCTTATATACCTTTGTTCTTGACCCTAATGACAATTTTTAAAATTCCTTTAATTATCAAGGCAGTGATTCAGCAAGTATTTATTAAGTGCCTACTATGTGCCATACACTGTACTAAATGCCAGGAATACAAAAAAGGGGCAAAATAGTCCCTGCCTTTGAGAGCCCCAGCCTCCTTCTAATGGTAGAGACAACATACAGATCACTAGTACGTGAAAGGTAGATACAGAGAATATAGAAGCCGATCTCAGGGGAAAACATTAGCTGCTCGGGGGACTTGGGAAAGGTTTCCTGTAGAATGTAAGATTTGAAATGAATTTTGTAGGAAGCTAGGAAAACTAAGAAATGGGGTGGAGGGGTGGGGAGGGAAGGAAAAGGAGCGAACAAGCATGTATTAAGCATCCACTTATGCCAGGCATGGGGGTAAGTGCTTAACAAACATTTAAGGAGGTGGAGGAGAGCATACAGGCATGGAAGACAGCCATCTCTCTAGATAGATAGATAGATAGAGAGAGAGAGAGAGAGAGAGAGAGAGATTGACAGACAGCAGACAGACAGTAGCGTTAGTTGGAATGAGTCAGAAATTCTTATTTACAGTATTATTGCTTTAAAGTAGGGGTTCTTAGCCTTTTCTGTGTCATGGACCCTTTTTGGCAATCTAATAAAGTTTATGGATCCCTTCTCAGAAGAATGTTTTTAGATGCGTAAAATAAAATATACAAGATTGCAAAGAAAACCAATTATATTGAAAATTAGTTATAAAAATATTTTTTAAAAACAAATTCACATACATACCCAGGTTAAGAAGCATCATGGAACTCAAAAGTTCTTTCTCAGGGATGGAAAATAAGGGGTTTTTAGGAGAAGTAAGTATTGGGAAGGAAAATTGACAAAACACTTCTTTTCATAAGCTTTCCCTCTCCTTTGCTTTCTTTAAATTCAGTTTTATCTTCAGTTACAAATTCACTCCCTCCTAGTGCCTCTTCTATTCCCAAGAAAAGCAAAACCCATTATAAATACACACACACACACACACACACACACACACACACATGTCATATTTGGGGCAGGTGGTACAAGGGATAGAGCACTGGGCTTGGAATCAGGAAGACTCTTCTTTCTGAGGTCAAATCTGGCCTCAGACACTTACTAGCTCTGTGACCCTGGGCAGCTCACTTAACCCTATTTGCCTCAGTTTCTTCATCTGCCAAATGAGCTGGAGAAGGAAATGGCAAACCTACTCTAGTATCTTTGCTGAGAAAACCCCAGATGGGGACATGAAGAATTGGATACAACTGAAATGACTTAAAAAACAACCACAAAAATAGGCATTTATTTGTAGATATATACATATCCATACATATGTGTATATGTGCAATTCTTCAGTCTGCACTCTGAGTCTATCAGACCTCTCTCTGGAGATGGACAGCATGTTTCATCATAAGCCCTCTGGAACTGTGGTTGGTTATTATGTTGATTAGATGAGATAAGTCTTTCCTGTCATTTTCTTTCCTTTCTTCCTCTCTTCTTTTTTCTTCTTCTTCTTTTTCCTTCTCCCTTAAATACTCCTTCTCTCTATTTTAAAAAATCTTTTTTTCCTCTTTTTCTCTTTCCATTTTGATCAAAAGATTACTATTTAAGAAACCCAAATATTTGATTTTCTTTCCTCTTGTTGTCAGACCTAGACATAAAACAGACTTATCAACTTCTCCAGTGTCAGTTTCACCAGGAACTAGCATATATCTCCTGTAGGTTTCATTAATAACAGGGCTATGAGTTCAGAGAATACCAAACTGACTTTTTTTTTTTGGCTAGGCAGTGGGAGTAAGTGACTTGCCCAGGGTCACACAGCTAGTAAGTGTTATGTGTTTGAGGCCAGATTTGAATTCAGGTCCTCCTGAATCCAGGGCCGGTGCTCTATCCACTGCACCACCTAGCTGCCCCCCAAACTTTCTTCTAATCAACTAGCATTTATTAAGTGCCTACTTTGTTCTAGTAAGTAATTTCAGTAGCTCAAAAGAAATGTGAGATGCTCAGATTTAGAGACATCTGCACTCCAAATGTTTTGTGGACTATTTGTGCCCAACCTGTGGTAGAGCATTCCAAGCTTGTATTGGTCTGATCAGTCACAGTCAGACACACTGTGCCTTAACTCCAACTTGGTGATGTCATTTTGGTCCTCATTGAGCATTAACTTTTAACCTATATAAGATGTTAATTTTTAACCCTTACTGCTTTTCACAGTGTCATCTCGGGCTCCCTGTCCCATGGGGAACCGAGTCATGGGTTGGCTGATAGAGTTATTAATTGCCGAGAAGTCCTCGAAGCCTTCAACCTTCTTGTGCTCCAAGTTAGCTCCTTCCCATATGCCATGCAAACGCAACAGTCCAGAATAAGCTCTGCCAATGAGGTGCATTGGATACCACTGGATAGTGTGGTAAGTTTGCTTTCATCTGCCCGAGAAATCTTCCTAGGCATGGCCTTCCCCTAGAAGCTTGGAAGATGTAATAATGGCCATTGTTCTTAAAGTGCTGAAAATTGGAGTATGAATGTAGCCTTGGCCAGGGGTCTCCTTGTTCTTAATAATAATAGCAAGCATTTATATAGTACTTTAAAGTTTGCAAAGTGCTTACCACTACAGTTTTCTCATTTTATTCTTGAAAGATATTGTCCCCATTTTATAGAGGAGGAAACCAGGACACAAAGAGGTTAAGTGATCACCCAGGGTCACATAGCTATTAAGTGTCTCGGACTGGATTTGAACCCATGTCTTCCAGACTCCAGGTCCAATGCTTTTATCCACCACTCTGGATAGCTGCCAGATGTAAAAGGGCTCTCAGCAGAAACTAGTTAGATTTTTAAATTCTTCGGCAGTCTTTTGAAAGTAGTGGCTGCAATTACAGTGGATTCAAGGGTCTGCCCTTGGAATATTACCTACCTCAGAGTAGAGAAAGCACTTTGAATGCCGCAAAGGTACTTTATAAACATGAGTTCTTGTGTTACTACACCAGAATATTCCATAATGTCTTTTTTCTTTTAAAGATATGACCCCAGTGAGAAACCTAGGACCTATGTTCTTTCTGCTATTTTCTAACACATTTTAATATTTTGAAACTGTGTTACTATTGCTCTTTGATGATTGAACCCTCCTTTTTTTCTCTTAATTACTTTTATTTTAGAATTTGGTTGAAATAAGAAGCTAGAGATGTCACATTGGAGAGCTTAGTAGTAGCATTGAACGATGGGAAGTGAAGATAACATTTCCTTATACTCCTTGATTTCTTAAGTACATAAGTCTTCCAGTCTCTCATGCCAGAAATAAATGCCATAATATCTTAATGTGCTGTACAAAATGTAAAATAGCAAAGCTGAACATTTCTTATTCCCTCTTTATAATGAAAACTGTATTACCTATTAAAAAATCTTTCTTAACTCAATAAATCTAGTATACTAAATTCTAGTTCAGGAATGTTATCTGAGTTTAGACCTAGAGAATTTTCATTACCTTATGAGTTAGATAAATTTCTGTTCATTTTGCCCTCACCTGTCAGTATTTTGATCTTTATAGTTAGGTAAACAAGCATGAATAGCTACGTTATCAGAAATATATTACTTAAATGATTTCTTTAGGTTGTATCATTTTTGGGTATAAATACCTTATTATTTGTTATCCTAAAAATAGACATTTTCCCTCTGTATATGTCATTAATTAGGTATGAGGTAACAGGTAATCATTCTACCCCCAAAGTCGGAAACCCAGAATTTGCCTAGATTCCTGATAAATTGCTCTCTCAAAGCATGGAACTGATTATAGAACTGATGAAAAAAAAAAGGTATTTATTTTGCACTAAAAGTGAGGTCTTGACACCACATTGAATATACAGTTACAAAAAATGTTAGAGGAGGATAAACCTATCTTTATTCACCTTATTTGGTCTTTTCCTAGAAGAGACAGTATTAATCCAAGACTAGAGGATGTATAACTAGCTGTTCATGTCTTTGACATGAGCAAATAGAAGGAGAAAACTAAAATTGCCATTTCTAAAGTTGTTCCAGTGAGAGTAGGACAAGAAGAAATTTTATACTAGAAGAAATTTGTAGGGAGTATAGCAGAGAAACCACCAACAAGGAAATGCTTCTGCTTACTTCAGAGCTACCATCATGAAAGATAGACAATGGAAAATAGAAACACGGTATATAGAATTGTCAGTGTGACAGTAGGATTCAAGACATTTTGAACATGTAACAAAGTAAAAATTGAGAATGTTGTGCACCTACCACCCTAATAGTCAACGCTGAAAGCACGAACAGAAGCCCAGTCAGGCCCTTTGTCCTTTTGCATTGGTGTAAAAAGGGGTAAAGGGAGATAAGAATCACAGTGTTAAGACCACCAGTAAACTTGAACTTTACTGTTGGTACTGTAAATGTGAGATCCTTGTTCAAGGTATCTTTAATATTAATATTACTAAATACTAATAATTAATTATTAATATTACCTTAATATTTTGTATTAGTATTATTACTAAGTCTTAATATTAATATTAGTAGAGAACAAGACAACTACCTAAAGCAATATTCCACAATAGACTCCATTTTTACTATTTCCCAACTGACAGATGGGGAGACTGTAAGACCCTATTGTGCTAAATTGTTCATCAATTGCAAAAAAGCCTTTGATTTGGTAGAAGAAAATACTTCCTTACAGGATCTTTTAAACAAGGTGTTTTCCATCTATAAATCAAACTCATTGAGAAGTTTAAAAGTAATAATGACTTTGTTCAGCATCCCTGATGATAAACATTGAAGCCAGGCATAAAACAGAGAGGTTCATCAGTGTGATGGGGGGAGACCCAGGATAGAGTTCAGGTTGAAGAAGGATCTATCAAGGGTGAAGTTCCCCAGATGCGCTTGTTTGAAGATGACACCGTTCCAATTGCATCAAGCCCCTCCTCCCCCCAATTAAAGATTCTCCTGGAAGAAGTCTGCAGTCACTCAAAGGAGTCTGGCCTATCCATTCACTCAGAAAGTAATAGTGGATGATGAATGTCCATCACCTAGATTGTTACATGCAGAACAAAGATCTCTCTTTTTAATACCAACATTCTACTGGTGTTGCTCTATGGAAACAAGCTTCAGAATTACGTCCTACCACCATAAAAATGAGTGTCACCCAGAAAGCAATGGAGAGGTATATGGTGGGAAAGAACAGGCTGTAACGTATAGCTAGTAAGGAACTGCAAAGAAGAAAAGGAGTAAAAGATAATCACCAAGAACTTTTAGGAAGAGAAGATAGGGCGGTCACATCTCAAAGGCGAGGGATGATACCTGGACATCCAGAGTGCTCCCCTTATTGTATCAGGAAAAAGCAAGGAAGGTGGCCAGCATGTTGGGTAGTCCTTCCATGGCAAACACGTGGGAGGACACAAACATGAGCCACACACTATAGATGGGTGTGGACAGCTTACAATCTACATTGTTGGAGGAAACTTATAAATTGATGAGATCACAGATCCATTTCAATTCAGTAAACATTTATCAGGCACCTACTGTGGGGCAGGTACTATGCTATTTGAGAGTACTGTTCACTATCCTCTGTTTAAAAGGTTAAGAACATATATATACATTTCAGAATTTTTTTTTCACCAAAATGGTTCAAAGTTTGGTCACTTATAGGGAGTAAGCTTTAATTATCCAGAAAATTAACTCACATGGAACATCTCATTATCCAACAAAGCCACATAATCAAGGCAGTACTGTAACTCTAACCCCTCAATTTTATCTGTTTCTAAAGAGTTATTTGAATATCATATGCAGTATATAGAAACTGCAGTAATTAAATTTTGAAGTCTTTATGACAGAGAATAATAATTTTAATAGTATCTAAAATTTATATAATGCTACATAGATTACCAGGTACTTTAATACGTTACCCCATTTGATCCTCTCACAACACTGTGAGGTAAGAGAAATATCACTAATATTATTGAACCCATTTTGTACAGTGGGAGAAAACCAAGACTCAGGCAGGTTAAATGATTCATCCAAGTCACACAGCTAGTATATGGCAGAGCCAGGACTCAGACCAAGATTTTCTGACCAGAAAATCCAGTCCATGTGAGGAAAAGAACAATTTCAGAAAAAAATTTTTAAAAAACATGTTTTTCTCAGGGAACAATTTGAAGAAGGGAGAAAAAAAGAATACATTTATTTACTATTTAAATATATAAGAGAATCACTTTAGAATTTTATTTATCCATCAAGTCCGTTGGAGGCAGAAGAAGATTTCTATCAGTACCTCTGAAATCACAACCTCATAGCTGCTGAGCTGCTAACAAATCATAAGACTAAACAAAAGCTTTTCACCCTCCAAGGAATGACATCCTCACTGTATCTCTTCTGTTTTCTCTCTCTCTCTCTCTCTCTCTCTCTCTCTCTCTCTCTCTCTCTCT